TACAGATCATAAAGTGGCTTTTCTCGCAGGGCCCGGCAGGCCCGGGGCGGGCCTCCGTTTTTTTGCTCCTTTTGCTCTGTAACTCTGTTCATAGATAAGATACAGTATTCCAAACAATACCGCTTTGTAGTACTCGTGGAGCTCTATCATACCTGATTGAGTTGGTTCGAAAAATTGATTCTGAAAGAAGTTATGGCAGGGCCCGCGAAGGCCCGGCAAAGGCCCGGATTACAAGTATGGCCAGCTTCAGTTAAGCCTCTAGCTCCAATTATACCTCCAGCTTCAGTTATGCCTTCAGCTTCAGCTATACCTCCAGCATTAGCTCAAGCTTTAGTTATACCGCTAGCTCCAGTTATATCGCTTGCTCTAGTAGTATCTCTAGCTTCAGTTATAGCCCCAGATTCAGTTATACCTCCAGGTCCAGCTCTAGCTCCAGTTTTGCCTTCATGTCCAGTTTCAGCACCAGTTATACCTTTAGATCCAGGTATACCTCCCGTTTCAGTGATACATCCAGCTTCAGTTATACCTCCATCTCCAGTTATGGGGTTATACAGTGAGAAGCAATTCAGCAAACTGCTGGTTTTTTTCTCATGCAGAAAGCAGAAAAACCAGCAATTTTGCTGCGGCCGCGCCAGCGAGATTGCTGGGGTTTTCTAGGCCATGTGAACTCGTCCTCCTCCTCGTGAAGTACACGACAAGAACATTTCACCGTAAATCGCCACAAGATTAAAGGCGCAACGAATTTCCCGGTTGGGTCTCGCTCCGACTTTTGTCGTGTACTTCACGGGGAGGAGGACGAGTTCACATGGCCTAGAAAACTCCAGCATTTTCGCTTCCGCGGCCCCAGCAAAATTGCTGATTTTTCTGCTTTCTGCATAAGGAAAAAACCAGCAATTTGCTGAATTGCTTCTCACTGAATAACCACATTATACCTCCAACTTCAGTTATACTTCTAGCTCCAGTTATACCTCTTGTTATATCTCTAGCTCCAACTCCAGCTGCAGTTATACCTCCAGCTAGAATCCCATTTTTTACCATACAAAAAAAAACGGAAAAATTCAAAATTTGTGAAAAATATGTTTGTTAAAAAAATTTGTTAATTTTCTCAATTTTTGTATTTCTAGGACAGCTGAATTTCTTCAAAAAACCGTTCCAAAAAATTTTCTGATTCAAGAAAATGTGGAAGACAAATCTGAGCAATCTGGAAGCACGCCACAGAATGGATCCAGGTCAGTTTTTTTTGTGGTGGCCGAACTTTTTCGAAATTTCCATTTTCTAGGCCAGCTGAGTCAGAAGCCGGTGGTCCAATAAAGATTCTGATTCCACGAATTTTGAAGTCCAAAGCTGAGCAATCTGGAAAAATTCCTGCTGGTTTATCTTATTATTCGACTCCAGAAACTTCTGAGCAATCAGGGCAACAAAAAGTTCGGTGAGTGAATGCTGGTTTTCTAGGCCATTTTAAGACGGTGGCCTAACTTTTGCAATTTGAGTTTTCTAGGCCACCATGCTAAATGGCCTAGAAACGACCTGATATTGACCTGGTGCGTTTTCTAGGCCATTTTTACGTGGTGGCCGAGCTTTATCAACGTGAATTTTCTAGGCCACCATGCTAAATAGCCTTGGATGGTCTGACATTGACTTTGTAGGTTTTCTAGGCCATTAACCTTAGTGGCCTAACTTTTTCAAGTTGACTTTTCTAGGCCAGCGGACACTTCGAACGCCATTGCTCAGTTTCTGACTGAAAACAGAGATATTAAGATTCGGAGAGTTGTGAAGAGAAAAGCTGAGCAATCGTGGGGAGCTCTGACGTCTTCTGAAGGCTCCAGAATGCTAGGTGGCTTTTCGTATGCCACGTCATCTGCTTCTGAATCCCAAAAATTCCAAAATGATCCGAAAAAAGTTGTGATCCGGAATTATGTGGGCAGAAATACTGTGCAATCTTCAACGTCTTCTTCCACGATATCATCGAAGCCAAGGTCTTCTGGAGGTTCTGAAATTTCATGTTCTTCATTTTTCACGTCATCTGGCCCAGTTTGTACAGCTTCTGAACGACAGAAACCTGAATTTTCTCCTGGGACGTCTACTGAAACTCGAAATGAGCAATCAATTCCAGAAATTCTGTCTCAATGGAATGTGAAAATCGAGCCAGAAGAAGAGCAAAAACCGGAGGAATTCAGGTAAATTTTTTGGAAAAAAATTTTGGTGGCCGAACTTTTTTTAATTCGAATTTCTAGGCCACAGTAGTTTAAGGTCCAGAAGCAGCCTGGTGGATTTCCTAGACCATTTTCACATGGTGGCCTAACTTTCGCAAATGGATTTTTTAGGCCACCAAGCTGAATAGCCTAGAAATGACCTGGTATTCATCTTGTAAATTTTCTAAGCCATTTTAACACGGTGGCCTAACTTTTGTAGGTTGGTTTTTCTAGGCCATCGTGCTAAATGACCTAGATATGTCCTGATATTCACCTGACGTGTTTTTAGGTCCTTTCAACATGGTGGCCTAACTTTTGCAAAATGATTTTTGTAGGCCACAATGGCGATGGCATAAAAACTTGCCAGTTGAATGACTGGTCATTTCTGGACCATTAACTACGATGGCCTAGGAAAATCATCATGGCAAAATGACTCAAATAAACATTTGATGGCCGAACTTTTATTCAATTTCAAATTTCTAGGCCACCGGAAGAGTATCCCAGTTTCAAAATTCTGGAAGAAGTTCGAAAATCTGGAGAACCAGATTCGTCGGAATTGCGATTTGATTACACGGAAACGGAAGAAAAAGTGGATAATTTTGTGATCAAAATAGAGCCAAAAGAGGGATTGAAATCGGAGAGAATTTGGGATGAGCAATGTCTGCAAGAAGTGAAAGAAGAAGTTAATGATGAGCAATTTCTAACGACGTCTTCAGAAATCAAAAATGAGCTATGTGATCCAGAAGTCAAAGAAGAGATTGATGATGAGCAATGTCCAATGGCGTCAACGTCTTCTGGAATTAGACATGAGCAATGTCCAACAACGTCATCAGCAAGTGAAATTATGGATGAGAAATCAGACCTTCCAATCGATACTTATGAAATCGATCCCAATTTTTCACCGGAGACAACTAAATGCCCGATTTGTAATCAACCAAAATCGATAATCGATTTGGTTCCATTAGTTGGGAAATATGAGAAATTGGTTGTCCTTATTTCATGGGTTATTGATGGATTCCCTATTGAGGTTTGTTTGTGATTTGGAAGAGAATTTTGAGATTCTAGGCCATCTATGACAATTTTCGAGAATTTGTATTTTTTTCAGTTTTGAAATTTCTAAAACTTGATTAATTCAATTCAGGGTTTTCTGAGTTCTTTCTTCTTTTTTCAAAAACCAACATCACCATTGAATTCCACATGTTCTCTTACCGAAACTCTGGAAATTTCAGCCTTCTAGTTCAAAGTGTCGTAAGATATGATGTTACTGTAGTTTGGTGTTTGCAGACAATACATCATATTCCACGACACTTTGAGCTAGGAAGCTAAAAATTTCAAGATTTTAATACAGTTCCAACCCATTGGCCTGGTGACCGATAATTTCAATTTTCTAGGCCACTGGTTCGGAATTTTCAAAATATAAAAACACCATTCG